AAAGGTCCAGTAAGATCTCCCTGACTCTTTCCAGACTGAAGAATGTAGCTTGAAGCAGTAGAATAGTTATTTTCTACCTGTGGTGCATGGGTTCCTGGGTGATGTCATACATGACCTTTGATAGCTAATAATGTAGACTGGGTAGATTGTCATATGGCATAGGTGAACTATGTAAAACGTCTGAAAGCTGTGCATCTCCTTTAGAATTCTTTAGGGATTCACAATTTTAAAAAGGGTAGAAAATTAATCCATAAGGAGTTTCTTACAAAATTTATAGGGGTGTGACCAAGGAAGAGGGAGCTGGTCTAGCAGCTCACGAGGACCTAGGACTAAAATTTAAGTTATTTTAATTCAGTTGCCTGCTCTATCAATCACAGGTTTCCTCTATGATTTTAGTAAAACACTGGACTCTTCCCTCTGCATTGATGCAGATTTACTGGTAGCATCTAATCAAACTCTCCAACATCTCCGTGAAAGAGGCAATTCCTGCTCTACAAATAAGGAAAGCACAAAGCTATGACATTTATTGCCCAAAGCCATGTGAGAAATTTGCATGAGAGCTGGGCAGAGAACTCATTTGGTTATGCTGTTGGTTTTCCTTTCTTTAACAAACATTGTTTCATGCCAATGGATTTTTAAAAATAAGAAGTGAAAGGCAATGAGATCATGAATGAGACCATGATTTAAATAATCTTCAAGTGTAAGGGAAACAAGAATAGTTGTGAGGAAGCCTCCACTCCTAAGGAAGGCACGGCTCTTTCGAGCACACCTGGCATAGTTCTTCCTCATCCCAGTTTTGTAGCGGTTTATTACTTTCTGTGGGAGTCCCTCCGTGTTTGAGAGTGGTGCGTGCATCGAGCTTGAGACCATTGCTCATAGGCCAGACCGATTGGACACCGTGGGCTGAATTCAGTGGGATGTCCCTGAGCACTGGGTTGGGTGAAGTAGGTCAGGCCTTTTTCTGTTAGTAGATTTAATGGGAAACAAATCTATTCTAAATTCTTTCTGTGCATCCTTGCTGTTATGGACTGAAATCAGATCCTTACATAATGCGTTTTCAGAGCTGTGCCTCCGGAGTCCTAAGCAGAGCAGTGCAGGCTGCATACCTCTTCTCTCCTCATCAGGGATGTGACCCTGCAGAAGTGGCATCTTTCTCTTGCCCACATTTGGCTTCCTGTGTGCCTTGAAGGTTGTATTTGCTTTGTCTACTGAAAAAACACATTTTTACTACCGACAGCACTCCAGAACCAATAAAGCTGAGGCAAAGGGACTTGTTTTCTCCTCTGCTTCATGCACCATTGCCAGTAGAGTGACCAGCTAAGGCCTCTATGAGCTGCTGGCCTCTCTCCCTATCCCAGAAGGGGCTGGCATCATACACAGAGCCTGGATCAGGCCCTTTACCTCCAGGTTTCATTTACTGCTGTTTTCAGCAAACCCTGAAATAAACCAGTTTGATGGGAATCCAAATCTCTTTTCCCTCTGACCCAGAGGCTTCTGGCAGAGCTGTTACTGGCAGCTCTTCCCCAGTCCTGCTGTCAGCCATTCCACCCAGAAATTCTTGGGCCACAAGTGACTTCTGTCACTTCTGCATCCCTCGAGCTTTCACAGCCTTGCCAGGGGCCTGGTGCACCCCAGGCAGACACCCATGCTTGAGGAATTACCGAGCTCCAGCCTGCTCCGCTCAGAACAAATCTCTGTACCTTAAAGAGGCAGTCAGTCCATCTGAACTAGCCTCATTTACAGAAAACATTTCCTCCTACAGGTAACTCGGTTCAGGAGAGAAAGGTCTTCGAGTGCTTCCTTAGGATCACAGTTTTGAAGGCAGAATCTTAAACACAAACCTGGCGAGAAATACACAGGACATAGGCCTTATAGGCTTTATTTTTAGACTTAAGAGACTGGTAGTTAAAGAATTGTTTTCAAATACCAGCTGAGTAAAACTGCGTTTATTATGAAAGAAGAAATATAAGACATTAGGTGTAACTTCTGAATTTTTGCTTTCTGTTCGAAACACTATTATTTTAACCTAGTATTGTTATTTGTGCCTTTGTGTTTAAACAAGGTTGTTTAAAAGCGAATTCAAAAATATTTGCAGTGAATTACAGGTGACTTATTGGCTGAGGTAGAAAGATAGTGAGGAAAGAGAGAGAAAGAGACAGACAGGCACCCCAGAAAAGCCATTAACACCTTGCTAGGATGCGTTGGCCATCCTCACAACTGCTCTCTCCTGAAACCAGTCACATCAATCCTTCCCAGAAGCAGTGGATCAGCCGATGAGCTTTGAGTGCGGGCTTATGCTCCTGTGTGTCAAGAAACATTTTGTCCTGCAGGGTGGGCAAAAAAATGGTGTGTGTGGGAATAAAGGAGGGGTGAACAGACCCTCTCCAGCTCAGCCCAGTGACAGAGGAGCAGCTTCTCCAGGCTAAATCTCAGGAGGCAGGAGTGGAACCATGGCGTGAACAGGCCAAGACCTCAGTGAGAACCTGAGCCAGAAGCAGCTTGTGTCTGAGCTCACTCGCGGGCTCTGTGCAGACCTTAGCACCTCCACGTCCTGCTCATATTCAGTTCAGCATCAAAGTCGTATCCAGTTAAGTCCTGAATTCAGCAGAATGTCTGTCTTCAGTTCCTGATTGAGTTTCTACTCTTGAATTTGGGGGGATTCTATTTTGAAAGATAAGAGGTGTGGCTTCTCACTTATTTCCAGGGACAACTTGTACGCCAAGTTTCAGCAATGGAAGTTTATCGGGTTCTAGATTAAGGTAGAGACGTAAACTTCCAGGTGAAAAAATATCTAATAAAACTGCAGCAGATCCTTGACTGACATCGTAGTAGCAAGTGTCACTGTGAGGCTCCTTTTACAGTGTAGAGCTGGGTTCAGTTTTCTATCGTTTTCATGTCATTTATTTCAGTTATGTATTATTTATAAAATGCCCTACATGCTCAGGAATAAAGCAAAGTAAGAGTTGTTTTAAATTTAACTTAGGGAGTGAAAATCGTTGAAAAAATAGTTAATTTTTAGAAAAAATGCTCAGCATGGGTAATATGATCTATATTACTTTCATAATGAAGCTGAATTTGAAGGTTAACATTTAAACAAATGCATAAATAATATAGGTGAAGTGACTAAGCTTCAGTCCCATTAAACTTAGGCTCCTAAGTGCCTAAATAGCCTGCAGGAATGGGATTCAAGCACTTCAGGAAATTTTGCTCAAACCTTAGTAGACTGTTCACCTCCCCTTACAGCGTGCCGCCTGCCGTGCCTCGCGAGTGCTCTTTGTGGGACAGCCGTTCTGCAATGGAAGTAGCACTTACTATCAATTTTTTAAATCGTCTTATGTGTTTGCTATTGAGGTAGACTTTCCGTCTTTTCTGTACGGATTGGGGGCATAACTGGAAATTGTGTTTCTGATGGAGAAGTCTTGCAGAACTCCCTAGGAAAACGCGAAGTGCGTGCTCAGAGGACCGCCGCGGAGCCGTGCCCCACCGCGCTCCTCTCGGGGGATCCCAGGCTCCGTACGGAGGGTCTCCCTCGGCGGTAGCCTCTGAGGTCTGAGCACTGTCCGCGGGAACCTCCGCCTCCCACCCCGTGATATTCCGCAGAGGTTTTGCACGCCGGTGTTTCTGCCCGCGTTCACCAGGGCGGCACGGGAAGTTTATTCCAGGGGCTTCTCCGATCCCCTAAAAATGCGACGGACGCGCTGGCTTTCCGCCGCCTCTCGCTCTCCCCG